AGTGATGGTTGCCGCCACCGCAGGTGGCAGCGAACTCAAACCTGCCTCGTCCCGTCCTGGAGCCACACGTGCAGCCTCCAAGATCGGGACGAGGGTGCCACAGAGTGCCCCGTCTCTGAGAGAGTAGGTCCGGTCTCAGAGGAATAGGCCAAGGAGGTGCTGTCGCGAGGAGCAAGAGTTCGGAGAACCACGTCTTGGTGGGCCAGTAGGGGGCTACCAGCAAGACCTGCTCCTCGTCCTCCTTGATCTTGCACAACACCCGTGCAAGGAGGCTCACTGGGGGAACGCACACTTGCGTGGGCCCCGTGGCCAGCTGTGCGCCAGCGCATCCGAGCCGAGAGAGCCGCGGGTCAGAGAATAACTGGGCGCAGTGGGACGAGTCCCGAGAGGCGAACAGGTCTAACTGTGCCTCCCCGAACTGGTCCCAAATCAGCTGGACCGACTGGGGATGGAGTCGCCATTCGCCGGAGATGGGACGGGCCCGGGACAGCTCGCGGCTGCCCGGTTCCGGTCTCCAGGAATGTAACTGCACGAAGGGACCTCAGGTGCTTCTGACTCCATATCAAGAGGTGGCGGGCGAGCTGCGACAACCGGCGCGAGCGTAGACCCCCCCTGGTGGTTGATGTACGCTACTGCCGTAGTGTTGTCTGAGCGGACAAGCACATGCTGGCCCTAGAGCACGCTCGGAAGCGGTGCCGGGCGAGCCGTACTGCCAACAGCTCGAGGCAATTGATGTGCATGAGGCGCTGGGCTCCTGTCCAGGAACCGGCGGCTGCATGCCCATTGCACATGGCACCCCAACCCGTGGTAGACGCATCCGTGGAGACAACGAGATGCCTGGAAACTCGCTGAATAGGGACCCTGTCCGTAAAAGCTGAGGTTCGACCACGGGAAGAAGGATCGGCGGCACGTCGGAGTCACTGGAACTCGGAGCGAGCCGCGATGCCATGCCCACCTCGGGACTCGATCGCGAAGCCACAGCTGAAGCGGTCTCATATGAAGCAAACCGAGCGGCGTTGCCGCGGCCGCGGATGCCATATGCCCCAGGAGCCTCTGAAATAGTTTCAGTGGAACCGCACTCTTGCCCTCGAACTGTCGAAGACAAGCCAGCAGTGAGTGCGCGCGCTCGTTCGTGAGCTGCGCGGACATGGCGACCGAGTCTATCTCCATGCCGAGAAAAGAGATCCTCTGCACGGGGCAAAGTTTGCTCTTTTCCCGGTTGACCCGAAGGCCCAGACGGGCTAGGTGCCGTAGCACCAGGTCTCTGTGTTCGCAAACCTGAGCTCGAGAGTGTGCTAGTAACAGCCAGTCGTCGAGATAGTTCAGGATGCGAACCCCGTGTTCGCGAAGGGGAACAAGGGCTGCCTCGACGATCTTCGTGAAGACGCGAGGGGACAGAGCTAACCCGAATGGGAGAACGGCGTACTGGTATGCCTGGCCCTCGAAGGCAAACCGAAGAAACGGTCTGTGTCGAGGGAGAATGGAGACATGGAAGTACGCGTCCTTCAGGTCGATCGCTGCAAACCAATCCTGATACCGAACACATTCGAAAATGCGTTTGGCCGTGAGCATTTTGAACGGTAGTCGATGGAGAGAACGGTTCAAAATGCGCAGGTCCAGGATCGGTCGTAACCCACCGGTCTTTCTTGGGGACAATGAAGTAGGGGCTGTAAAGCCCGGACCTCACCTCGGCTGGAGGACCGTCTCGATTGCACCCTTCGCCAGCAGGGTCGCAATCTCCGCTCTCAAGACTGGGGCATTGCCACCAACCATCGTGGAGCGAACTCCCCTGAAGCGGGGAAGAGACCGTGCGAACTGAATCGCGTAGCCGAATCCGATCGTTCTGATGACCCAGCGGGAACCCCGGGAAGCGCTAGCCAGGCTTCCAGGAAGTGAGCCAACGGGGTCATGCGAACCACAGACGTCCCCCCGGAGGGGCAGCGAGGCGGGTCGACCGGCATGCGTGCAGGAGTTACCCCGTCCGGATGCACCGTCGAAACCCGCTCCCCGACAGAAGAGACCAGGGAAGGCAGAGCGTTCCACGGGGGTCTGTTCTGCCGGGGTCTGGCGACAGAGGGGGAAGGGATTGGCGTAGCCCGGGGACGACACACGCACCCTTCCGCGCCCTCCGAGACAGAGAGGAATGAACGGGGCGACGCACTGGACGTCGTGCGCGCTCATTCCAGTCTGTGTGCTCAATGACAGTGTCAGCTTTTCCTCAACCAGCTCAGGGAGCTAGCTAGAACAAAAGATTCTCCACCGGCCCTCCACCGGGGAAGGAGGGGCCCTGCCACCGCCTCCTGAGAAAAACCATGACACTATCACTGAGCGGCCCGCCTCAGGAACATCGCTTCGCCTGGCATCTAGCGGGGCACGCGGCCTGAGGGGGGCTCTTTTCTTGGGACGCTTACCTGTGGCCTCCTCCGCGACGCGAACCGGCTGAAGGCTGCTGCTGGGGCCGCGTGGGAGGGAAGGGAGCCGCAGGGGGGCGTCCTCGGCGGCGAGCTGGCGGAGGCGTCCGAGCCGACGGCTGGTTGGAGGCAGCAGCTGGCCGTCGGGGCAGAGAAACCGCCTTCGTCTGCTCCTAGGCGGTCGAGAAGTGCTGGGCAAAGTCCTGGACCGCACCGCCGAACATTATGATGCTCCTGGACCACAGCGGTGGGCATCACCTGACCAAGGGAGCGAGCGACCGCCTCCGTGACCCGTTTAAGGACAAGGTAGGCGACAGGCTCGCAGCTCGCTTGGTCCGTCACCTCCTCGTGCACATTCCTGAGCAGCTAGCTTTGTAGGTGCTCATCATATGCAGGGCGGAGGCTGCCTGTCCCGCCGCTCTACAGAATCGCGCCGCCATAGACGACGAGAACCCATAGGCTTTGGAGGGGCATCTGAGAGCAACCGCCGGTTGACCGGGGGAGCCCCAGCGTACCCACAGACAGCCGCATCGCCGAGGGGAGGAAGGGCGGGGAACTAAGCACGCTTTTTTTTTTTTTTTTTTTTTATAGTGCGTGTCAGTTCCGCATGCAACTCGGGGAAAAAAGGAAATTGGGGTTGGCCGTGGCCGTAAGGCGGCAGCGTTACCCAAAAACCAATTATTCAGCCGCGAGAGATCGGGGAGGGGCGGAGTTCCACCCCCACCCGATGCTCACGAACGCCCGAGATAGCACGGCCATCATCGCGGGATCAGACACGGCGGCGCTGACGCTCCCGAGGGAGGCAACGCGGCCGCATCCTCACTTCCCGAGGAGTCAAGCCCGCCTAGTGATGCTGTGATCGACATCGCATCATCATCTGGAGCGCTGCCCGAAGCAGCCGGTGCCACCGAAGAAGCAACCGACTGAATCGAACTAACGCTCGCTGGCTCTCGCACTGAGGCGGGAGGTGTGGCCCGAGAAATCGTCGGGACTTATCCACACCATCACCGTAAATCACCAGGTCCCCGGGTCGACGGGCCCCCTATGGAGGAAACCGATCGAGCGGGGGGGACCGGGACTCTCACTCAAGTGAGATCATTGAGTCTCGACCTCAGTGTAGAGATGGTCATGTTCCCACAGAAGGAAAATGAGTCATCCACGAACGCTGCTGCTGCATGCTGAAATGCCCAGGCATACAAAGCAGCGATCGTGACCATCAGATGACGACAGAAATCAATCACACCCAGAAGAGCACGGGCGAACCGTCTTTAAAAAGACGTGCGCGTGCAGCTCTTTCAATGAGAGGAGGAAATTCACTCTTTCAGCGCTGAAGCGACCAGGGAGAAGCGCAAAGTCTGGCAGACCACTGCTCAGATCGCAGGCGATGCAGAATCTCGCTGGGTACCGCCGTCACACCAACACTGAAGAGGACGCTCGTCTCGAAGAGTCTTGAACAGTGCTTCCAGGAGTGAAGAGGTTCTCTTGGCTCCGAAGCGAAAACATACTGCGGTTGCGTTCACTTCCTCCTTTTATACTCACGGAGTAGGGCGGAGTACGCTATGCAAATTTCCGCAGCCCCAAGGCATTGCATGCCATTGGCTCGTGTTTTAATACTCGAAGAGGATTGGCTTTCTATGCGAAACCCCCAATCTCCGTCACTTCTGACGTAACTCGAAGTGACTACGATAGGGAACGCAAGTTACGTAATCAGATTACTTTTTTCAAGTAACAGATTACTTTTACAAAATATCAGAGTTACTTTTTCAAATAAGTAACGCATGTTATGTTGTTTTGCCATTCATTGACTAACATCTCTTCTGTCTCCATGTTGAGAGAAATCAGTGCAGAGGCGTTGTGTGTGAACATAATGGTTATTGTAGTTCTAGACTAAATGTGAACATGCACGTTTACACAACATATGGGTTAGGGTTAGGACATTTACTCATCTCACTTGCACAAAAATAGATTCAGTATTGCTCAAAATGAATAAAAACAGTGACATGCAAACTCAGAATATTACTCAGACTTGCAATAGTTAATTTTTAAATAAACAAATATACTTAATGTATTTAATTTCACTTTTTATGTCTTTGCTGCTGACTTCCATGATCCAATTCAACCATACCAAAAATGACTGAAATATGACACATCACATCTGTGCTTCGTTTATATTTTTCTTGTTCTTCTTTTTCTTCTTTTTTCCTGCAGTAAGAGTGTTGAACTTTCTTCTCCTGCGTCATTTCATTTTTTGTGGGAAAGGGCCTTTACATTTGCTAAAAAAACAACAAAGTAACGGAAAAAGTAACGGATTACATAAAACGCAACACAATTAGTTACTTATTTAGGGGCTAATGCAATATTGTAATGCATTATTTTTTTTAAATGTACTTTCCCCTAAACTGCCTTGACAGAGGCAGTGTTATGAGTCTGTAATAGTTATCAGCATCTGACACTGCATACAGCATCATTTCAAAAATAAAAATAAATTAAGAAACAGACCTAGTTTGAAATGTATTGCACTGATTGATTAGACTGCCCTACATTGCTTGTTTAATGTGATGTGGAGCTCTGAGGAAGTGGTCTGTGGTCTGATTTAGTCCTGAATAATGCAGTGCTTTGGGGCCGTGTGGACCCTCGGGTGTTTGCAGATGTCTGTCTGGCTGTCTCTCACAGGATCAGTGCACTTGAGGAGCTGGAGTGTTGCAGATCAGCAACTGGAGATCTCACCGGGCCTGTGGCTGTGCCTCACCCTCTAATAAAAGCCTCATCGCTCCTCAGAAGCCCATATTGCATTAGCGTGTTACAGGAACTGCAGGTCTATAGAGGCTTTGTGTGTATTGTTTTCAATGATTTGTGTTACTGGCACTGTGAGATTGAAGAGACGTTCTTTGGTCTCAGTTTTTTACTAAATTAGAATAGGGTTCACCCTATTCATTTTATTATGCATTTTAAAAGCAATTACCTTATATGTTTGTTAGAAACAACATTACTCATCTTCTGCTTAACCTGTGTGAGTTAAGCTGTGCTGTTATTAATTCTGGCACTGTCATCGATGTGAGGCAGAACGTTGAAATTGTTACTTGAAAAGTACTGCTTGTGCTACAGTATGCAATACACCACTTGGCTTGATATTTTATGATCTAATGCATTTTTAAAGGTCCAACCACCTTTTGGGCTACTGTACACACAAAAACACATGCTGACTTATTTTCTGTGTGTGATTATCAATTATCCACTGACTGAGGTTTCAGTCCTAACTCAATGTCTTAAAGGGTCAGGGCCGACTGCATTACTTTCAGCCTTGGTCAAGTGAATTACAGCGAGGACTGGTGGAATGGGATTGTATTTAGCTTTTATTTGCCATTGTCAAGCTAAGCTATAGTGCCCCGGAGACCTTGACATCAATACATGCTAAGCTAACTGCCTGATAAATGTGCTGACTGCTTAACTCGGTATTTATCAACAAATAATGGCTTTTTTATGCTGTGTACCTTTTTGTTAAGTGATTAACTGACAATATTTAAGGATTTTTTCTTTCTTCGCTGTAAAAGCAAACCTGTATAATCTACACATAAATAGCGGTAACAGTTTGCACTCAATTTCAGCTGCTACATTACCCTCTGCCATCATTCCCATCCTCTGGTCAGTCCAGTTATCTATCCCAAGTCTTCCGGAAGTTCCGGGAGTCTTTCCCACATATTGATAGCGTCTCCATGATGCCTGCAAATTAGATTCTAGAAGATTCTTAGCCCACGACAGAGAGGAAGAGAGCGAGAGACCTTGCGAGTGTGCCTCATGAAAGCTAGTCACCAAGATATACCTCCCTGAAATGACTTCTTGCAGGTTGGGATGTCTGTAATCACATCCTCTGTTGGGGCAAAGTCACGTGTGTTTTGTGTTTGGTGTCGAGGGATTTATTCAGAAAATCTGTTTCAATGACGTAATGTACTTTATGCGAATGACTTCTTATTGAATTAAAAAAATATCTGCCTCATGCTCATTTTTCTATTTAAAAATGCGTTTTTATTTTTTATGTTATATCCATAAAATTAGGTGGATGGAAATATGGCTATTCACATCGCTAGCGGCCAATCTACTAATGAAAGTCCAAACGAAAACCTCTGGACTGCAGCCACAAAAGCTTTTCTTCTCAGTGATTCATACACATAAACATTCAATCTTTTATAGCATGCCACCATGTTATAAAACAATGTTTTATTCTAAAAAGACTAAAAGATTACATCCGGGGTGCAAACCTGTTAGAGGGAAAACAGTGATGTTATGCTCTACATAAATGCCATTGATTTCAAATTTGATCTTTTGATTTTTGGGTGAAGGATGTTACACATGATGTTACTGCGTATAGATGATGATATCCAAGTAATTTCCAGAAAGTAATGACGCAATAGATGTCATATAGGCTACAGTATGTGGAAAAATAAAAGCAATTTTCATGGCAGTTAGTAAAGAGTTATCCCTTTCACACCAAAATTGTTTGGTCCGAACTTTCGGACTTTTCAGTTTGGCCCGAATTAAAATTACTGGCGTGAAACCTCCCCGAGAATTTGGTCCGACGAAAAGAGGTAGTCTCGGTCCGGATCAAACTGAAAAAAGGTTTGGTTCGTTTCTAGTGTGAAAGCATTTCTATATGGTTCGGACTTTCAGACCTTTTACAGGAAGTTCTGGTGGTTCCCAAAAAAGCCGAAAAACAGAAGGTGGCAGGAAAAATGAGCACATGGGGAGATGAGGTTTTTAATCAAAGTATGGTCTGATGACATAAATAAGAAGTCAACTTGCAGTCTTCTCCTCCTTTCCTGCCGGCGACAATAATATGTTCGCACGACGAGGACATTCATTTGGCGAATTTGAACTAGCCTTGAGTATTAATGAAGAGTTCAGATGCAAAAGCCTCTAAGTGCCATTTGAAATTTTGTTCTAGAATGACCATTTTTATCAAGCTTGTGTGTTTAAGTTCAGTAATTTCACTTAAATGACAATTAATAGGTAATCTTCATTGCCATTTAAGTGAAATTACTGAACTTAAATATACAAGCTTGATAAAAATTACAATTTTAGAAGAAAATTTTAAATGGCACTTAGAGGCTTTTGCATCTGAACTCTTCATATAGTTGGTGGAGCAGGTAATTATGCCATAAAAATAACAATATAGTTGCAACGATATGCGTCTGTTCGTTCATGTCGTCAAAGTGACCTGCCGAATTGACAACATGCAGACGTCAGACGCACGTCCATTTACTAAACCAATCAATGTCAAGATGCAGCCCACATAGATGATGACGACAGGACGCAAATATGTACAGTTCTTTAGTGCGCTCGCATGATTGCAGTGTGAAACCAAACCAAAGCTTTCTGAAAGTATAAAATGTATCAAAGCGTGAACTTTGGTTTGGACCTTGGTGCGGACTTTCAGCTATGAAAACGCCCTAAGTTAGTATTAGTTGTCTGGTTCAAAAGGAAATGCAGATGTATCGTTTGCTCAATAATGATGAGTGCATCTTCAGATTATTACTGCAGGATTTATCACGTGTGATGGAGTTAATGGAATCAAACCATCGTTGTGTTGACGGGAACAGCAGGGACCTTTGAGCACTCTGCATATGTGGATTTTTAGGCCATCATTCTGAACAGAGCTGAAATACAACATCAGGTTTAATCAGCCAAATCTCCCCCTTCATTAAGATTTATTTCCTCTCTCTCACAGTAACACAGATCCTGCAATTACAGATTGTTTGCTTGTTTGCAGGAAACATGGAGATGAAGCTGGGGAGAGAAAAGAGGTTTATGAAGAGATAGTGATGAAAGAAGAATATTATACACACAGACTCACACACAGTTTAAAAGTTTGTGGTCAGTAAGATTTCTTAAAGGGATAGTTCACTTTGAAATTAATTTTTTAATGTGTTTTAGCTTACCTCAAGGGCATCCAGTATGTAGGTGTCTTTGTTTCCACAGTATTTTCTATTTTTATTATTTATTATACTTGGATGTGGCTGTGGTTACAAGAGGTAAAAAAAATAAATACTGTTCACTTTCTCACACAAACCGCTCGTTTCGTGTCTTAGGCCATCAATGTGTACTTACATTTACGAGTCATTAAATCATGTTTAATTTGGACTTCTCTGTGCATGCTCTTTGAGTTGGACCCCATAGACCTCTATTATATGACTGACAGACAAGAATGGTTTGACCTAAAAATGTCAAAATTGAAAATACTATGGAAACAAAGACACTGCCATCTTGGATAAGCTAAAACATATCAAAAATTAATTTCAAAGTGAACAATCCCTTTAAGATTTTTAATTAATAATTAATATTATTATATTATTATAGTATTATATTATCACTTACTATATTATTCTTTACGGATGCATTCGTTTTCTTTCGTTTCTTGAGCAGCAGATCAGCATATTAGAATAATTTCTGATGAACCATGTGACACTGAAGACTGGAGTAATGATGCTGAAAATTGTGCGTCACAGCCAGGAATAAATGACATTTTAAACAGTTCTCTTTAAAAGTAATAGTATTTCACTATATTTCTCCCTGTGCGCTCTCTTGGAGGTCAAAGCTAAGATATTGCAGTTTTAAAATGGCATGCTTCCAGAGAGTTGTGCCGAGAATCTGCCATTGAGACGAATGGGGATGTTTTAAATAAAATCAAAATGCTTTAATTTAATGCTTTTAATCGTGATGCAGTCCACAATGATGATGAATATGAAACGGCCTCCCTCATCTGCTCTTTATAAAGGTTGAAGGTGTGATGTTTCATTGACTAAAAGCACTGCTACGTCCAATACAGTCTCCGTCCTCATTATCCAAGAGCTGCATGTGCAAGATAAATGGTTTTGCCTTTGTGTTATCTCTGGCTAAGTGGCTGCTTACACATTCACCCTGATGAACAATGTGTGTTGTCCGGCCATCTCAGTTAGATGATGAATGGGCTCCCTGGATTTTCGTGTGCTGCTCTCTCCACCATATAAAAAGATGGGCTTGAATAGTGTGCATTTGCTCTGTTTCTTGTGAACTGGGGAAGTGGAATTATTCAAAGCCTCTTTATGTGGCTTTAGTACTAACTGGAGGCAGCGTACGTGAAAAGAAGAACATAAATCTCCTATAACAATTGATGAGTAATGCTCAATCATAGACACATTCAGTTCGATTGAAGTGTGTATGTGTATTACAGGCTTGAGATTGTTTGCCTGTTTTAGCCTTGGTCTAGTAAGCAGGCATGCCATAATGGATTATGGGCCTTCAGTTGGGAACCTGCTTAGAAGTGACAGGGGTTCGCGCTCTCCCATAATCCTTTGGGCCTTTGTCTGAGTGCTGACAAGTAACTCACCCTGAGAATACCAATGTGAATATCCCTGTCCACATTTTGCCAAAGACTCAACCCCAGGTTCTTCTGTCAGGCCTTCACTTCAACACCTAATGGCTGATTGAAGGCAAATAATTGGATATATATATATATATATATTTCCGCATCTTAAGATATAAATATAACAAGATTTTAATTTGGTGACCTGGTATATACATGATGTGATCAAAGTAACAACTCTAAAGAAGCATGGATAATTTAATTTATTTTGATTTATTTTCATTTTTAGTTTTTTTTTAATTGAATTTAATTGATAATAATATTATTATTCATTTATTTAAATTTTTATGTTAATTTATTTTATTTTCATGTTTTAATTTTTTTATTTAACTTAATTTCACGTATAATAATAATAATAATATTATTAATAATATTTAGGGCTGTCAAACGATTAATTGCAATTAATCGCATCCAAAATA